GGGGGGGGGGGGGGGGGGGGGGGGGGGGGGGGGGGGGGGAGGATGGCTCAGTAGGTAGGTAAAGCAGTTCTCAGGCAAGTGTGGGACTTGAGTTTACAGAACCCTTGTAAAGTTAGGCACAGTGTCTGTAAACCCGCTCCTTGGGAAAGATGAGAGGCAGAGATGGGATCATCGCCAGAAGCGAGGCAGTCAGGCATAGGGAAGAGTTCACTAACCTGGAACTGTTTAAGTCTCACACACATTCCTGCTTCTAACGTGTGCTCCGGAGCCTGGCTCCTTTACTTACCTGCTCTATGCACACATTTCCTTCTCTGAGGACAGTGCGCCTGCAGCCTTGGACCTCAGCCTGCTCTGAACGGTAGGATAAAATTCTGCTCCCCATAATGACCATCAGACTTGGACAGTTTATACCCAAATGTGGTCCTAATACATGTTTGGGTGCATGTGCAATAGGGAAAAACAATGAAAACTGTGTCCTCAGGTGAACTTTTAGGAAGACTCTATTTACTACGTTCTATCTATGAACAATTGAGTATGCATATAAGTAAAATCATGTAAGGTATGCGGAGGGGCACAGGCTATATGAAAAGTGTTTATATGACCTTATCTAGTCATCAAAACAGAAAAGCACCCCACTAGACTCCACAAGAACCAGACTCCTCCTCTTGAGCTCCACAAAAGGAAGCCCCCAACATTAATCGGGTCCCTGAGCACCCTCGCTCGCAGCCAGCTCTCAACCAGGACAGATCCCTCTCCAATCTGTACTGTTGCTTTACTGTGAATAAAAATGACCTTGCTACATTTGCAAATCTGCGTGATCCTTTCAGGAAGAAGCCAAGAACCCGGAAGCAAGCTTGTGGGCCCACTAGCCTGGCATATGCTATAGCAAACAACAAAAGGAAGACCATGCCTCAAGCTATACTTCAAGCACTTACAAGCAAGGATTTCTTCTGACTTCCTTGCCATGGTATACATGCACACAAACACATATACACACTCATAATACACACATACACACACCTACACCATGGGGAAAATAGTAATAAAAGCTAGGAAGAGGTGTAAAGAGAATGTGCAGCCTGCACCACCTGCTCCTCCTGGCCCGGGTGCTGCACCCTGACCAGGACAGACAGAGAACACAGAAGGCAGACGAGGAAGAGGGCGGTTGTTAGGAGCAGCAAGGCTCAGTCTGAGTTAGCTTGGAAAGAAGGGAAGGCCATGCTGGCCAATCAGGGAGTCACCATTAGGACCTGTGTGTTTGACCTGACACATGAAGCTTTCAAACCTGCTGCTGTTCTCCAGACCCTTCGATGGGAAAGGGCCTCTGTGATGGTAAATATTGTCAACTTGACAGAACTTGGAACTACCAAGGAGACAAGCCTCTGTCGTGTGTGGGAGTTTCTGTTAATTAAAGTAGGCATCCCCATTCCATGAGCTGAGGTCCTGGCCTGGAAGGAAAAAGAGAAAGCAAGCAGAGTACCAGCATTCACGCTCATTCTCTCCCTTTCTCACCTTCCTCACTGTGAGCTCACTATGACCTCACGGTCCTGCCACCCCGCTTTCCCACTGCACTGCACCCTGAAACTAGGAAATGAACCTCCATCTCCTAGTTTGCTTTTGTCAGATACTGCCACCTGTGCTGATAAGCACCTGGCTCACAACGTGCCACGTCTGGGGTCATCAAGGTCTTTGTTTTGCCACGGCGAGAACACATTCATTTCATCCACAACCTGAATCCTAAATCAAGGATTCAGGCCCCGGCCCACACAGCCCCTTCACAGGCCCCATCTGCTCCTGGTCACAGACTCATATCCATATCCTGTAGACTCTTGCTCTATCTGATGGCCTCACTGCACTTGTCAGTGCTCGGGACTACACCAGAGCTGACCAGAACCGTGGTGGTGTGTAACAAGGACTAGAAACCAAAATGGGTCTGCTGTGCCTCTGATCCCTGCTTTTTAAAAGTCACAAAGCTGGAGAGATGGCTCAGAGGTTGAGAGCACACGGTGCTTTTGCAGAAGACCTGAATTCGGTTCCCAGCACTCTTGGTAGGCTCACAACTGCCTGTAATTCCAACTCCACCTGGATCTGGTGCTCCTGTCCTCCATGGACAGCACACATACAGTCATGGGGCTGTGTAGATGACAGGGGTAGCGATGCTGGGTTGGTGATGGTGGGGTGAGTTGGTGGAAACTATTGGCATGCTTAGGGTATACGTAACAGTGGTGGAGAAGCGGGGACAGTGACTGTTACAAGGATGAAGGCTACAGTGATAACGCGGATAGCGATGGTGGTGGCCATGGCCGTGGAGATAACAGAGGTAGTGACTGTAC